GCTTCACTTTCTGAGGTAGAGAAAGAGCCGATGTGGACGCTTGACTAATCAGTGGAATTACCAAAGAAAAGGGACTGGAAGAGGGAGGTGGGAGAGAAAGAATGAGGAGAAAGAAGAGGAAAGGCATATACACAGAGGAGAGAGGAGGTGAGGATAGGAAGAAGAGGGAAAATGGGAAGGATAGCAAGAAAGAGATTCAACAGGTAGGCGCACCAGGCTCGACGCGGCAAGGCGATGGAGAGAGAGAGAGAGAGAGAGAGAGAGAGAGAGAGAGAGAGAGAGAGAGAGAGAGAGAGAGAGAGAGAGAGAGAGAGAGAGAGAGAATGAAAAAGAGAGAGAGAAAGAGAAAGAGAAAGCGAGAGAGAAAGAGAAACAGAAAGCGAGAGAGAAAGAGAAACATAGAGCGAGAAAAAGAAAAAAAAAATAGAAAAGAAAAAGAAAAGGAAGAAAGGAAAAAAAGAAAGAGTATGAGAAGAAGAAAGAAGAAAGAAGCAGGGAGTCCAGAGAGGTTGCATTGTCGCCTCCTCACGTCGCTGTCTCCTTTGTTTCCCGGCGTCCCTTCGAGGAGTCCTTCAGGAGCCGAGGGAGCGAGAGGGAATCGGGCTAAACGAGGATCCATTTTAGCTTAAACGCTGTATATTGTTGCTTAAGATGGCCTGGGGGGGAGGGGGGGAAGGAGACCCCACTCAAACAGGGATGAATCGGTTGTCTGTCAGTGTAAGTAGGTTGGGGTAAGTGTGCGTATGTGTATATTATGCGTAATTGTATTTGTATGTGTGTAATGGCGTGTTTATGTGTGTATAAGTGATTTCTGGCATGTGCGAGTGTTTGGTACGAGTGTAAGTGAGTGTTAGTAAGTAGGTGTGTAGACAGAAAAAAAACAGACTGAAATATACACAGCAGGATATTTAAGTAAATACATAGACGGTTGACTGTTGAAAAATGAAATGGCAGCAGATGCCTATAGCAGCCGTACCTGATCTTACGCCCCCTCTAATTTTGAATTAGCTCCACCCTCTCCCATCACACCAACAAAAAAAAACTGACGAGTTAAAAGGAAATAAACTTACATTAATGGGTTAGACTGTCCAATCAACACGTATATCTTCAACGACACTTTTAGGAAAATTTTAGATATCATATTTCTTCTTCTTGCTCCAGGCTGACTGACGCGCCCTTGGAAATTGCTTTTGCCCTCCAGGTGAGAGGAGCCTCGGCAGCGTTTGTATTCCAAAGTCGCTCTTTTAATATATTTTAAAAGTCTCGGAATTATTCAAGGCCGAGAGGATACCTGAATGGCATTAATCAATCCCAAATTTAACAAACCTAGCCTATGTTAACATTACCAAGTCGGAGCAAATTTAGCTTGATCGAGATTTTCCTTAGTATACATATGTATATACATATGTATATACATATGTATATACATATGTATATACATATGTATATACATATGTATATACATATGTATATACATATGTATATACATATGTATATACATATGTATATACATATGTATATACATATGTATATACATATGTATATACATATGTATATACATATGTATATACATATGTATATACATATGTATATACATATGTATATACATATGTATATACATATGTATATACATATGTATATACATATGTATATACATATGTATATACATATGTATATACATATGTATATACATATGTATATACATATGTATATACATATGTATATACATATGTATATACATATGTATATACATATGTATATACATATGTATATACATATGTATATACATATGTATATACATATGTATATACATATGTATATACATATGTATATACATATGTATATACATATGTATATACATATGTATATACATATGTATATACATATGTATATACATATGTATATACATATGTATATACATATGTATATACATATGTATATACATATGTATATACATATGTATATACATATGTATATACATATGTATATACATATGTATATACATATGTATATACATATGTATATACATATGTATATACATATGTATATACATATGTATATACATATGTATATACATATGTATATACATATGTATATACATATGTATATACATATGTATATACATATGTATATACATATGTATATACATATGTATATACATATGTATATACATATGTATATACATATGTATATACATATGTATATACATATGTATATACATATGTATATACATATGTATATACATATGTATATACATATGTATATACATATGTATATACATATGTATATACATATGTATATACATATGTATATACATATGTATATACATATGTATATACATATGTATATACATATGTATATACATATGTATATACATATGTATATACATATGTATATACATATGTATATACATATGTATATACATATGTATATACATATGTATATACATATGTATATACATATGTATATACATATGTATATACATATGTATATACATATGTATATACATATGTATATACATATGTATATACATATGTATATACATATGTATATACATATGTATATACATATGTATATACATATGTATATACATATGTATATACATATGTATATACATATGTATATACATATGTATATACATATGTATATACATATGTATATACATATGTATATACATATGTATATACATATGTATATACATATGTATATACATATGTATATACATATGTATATACATATGTATATACATATGTATATACATATGTATATACATATGTATATACATATGTATATACATATGTATATACATATGTATATACATATGTATATACATATGTATATATATATGTATATATATATATATATATATATATATATATATATATATATATATATACATTTACATATATATATATATATATATATATATATATATATATATATATATATACATATATATATACATATATACATATGTATATACATATGTATATACATATGTATATACATATGTATATACATATGTATATACATATGTATATACATATATATACATATATATATATATATATATATATATATATATATATATATATATATATATACGTATATATATATATATATATATATATATATATATATATATATATATATATATATATATATATATATATATATATATATACATGTGTATATATATGTATATATATATATATATATATATATATATATATATATATATATATATATATATATATATATATATATATGTTCTCATATAAGAAACTTCTTTTCATCTTTAAGTGCCATATTAGAGTGACACGGCGCTTCATTAACGGCTCCATTTAGGCCGTTAATGGTTTATAAATCATGGTTATGCAAGGGTTAATGTGGAGGTGGTTAACCTTTGTCTTCCTCCGGATGATTGAGGACTTCATCGTTTCTTTTGTCGTCTAATCTGGTTTTTAGACTTTGGCATGACTGGCTGCGGTTTAAAGATTTACTAAGGACAAGTAAAATATATTTCCTTTACTTAAAAAAACGGCTGGTTAAGGGAAATACGGAAGATAGTTAAGGGAAATGCATAAAGTAGAGACACCATTTTCATCCAACATTGTAATTTGATTTCTTCAGTAAGCTCTAACTATGACATCCATTCCTACCACCTAAGTCATCCAACAACGGAACTTGACTTTTTCAACAAGCCCTAGCTATTCCCACACCCCCAGTGACACCCCCTCCCCTTCCACTCCCACAGGAACCTCCCGCGCGCCATCTGGGTGGGCCTCCCCCTCGTCACCGTCATCTACGTCCTCGTCAACGTGTCGTACCTCGCCGTCCTCAGCCCGTCGGCGCTCATGTCTTCCAACGCCGTCGCGGTGGTGAGTCTGGCAGCAGTCAGTCAGTCAGTTGTTATTATTGTTAAAGTTTTAGGCTTTCGGTTCATTGTTCGGATAAATAGGATTTTAAGCAGGTAGGGAGTTTATTCTGTTAAATCAATATGAGTGTGTTAGGCTAAAACTTAGCCATGCATTTTAATAGTCACTGTCTATTAGCAGTCAGTAGTCAGTTCTTCAGTTAGTAAGTTAAGCAGTCAGATAGGCGGTCTACTCCGAACGGAAAGTCTATAATCCATGAAGAAAAACTTTCTAGCAAACACATACTGCTTTTCTTCCTCATTTTGAAACCAAAACAGATATCTAAATATTTATACGTGAACCCATCCCCTTTCACTATTTGAACTTTAGATGGGACTAACGAAAAAAAAATCTTTTTCGAAACCAGACACCTTTCCGTGTCCCTTGCCCCCTTTTTCGCGACCAAATACCCGAACCCGTCGTTTTCATCCGCAGTCGTTCGGCACCATCATGCTGGGTCCGCTGCGCTACGCCGTGCCGGTGTTCGTGGCGCTGTCCACCTTCGGCAGCCTCAACGGCATCCTGTTCACGTCGGGCCGCCTATTCCTGGCGGGCGCGCGCAAGGGCCACCTGCCGCCCGTCCTCGCCTTCATCCACCTTAGGAAGAGGACGCCCGTCCCTGCGCTCGCAATCACGGTTAGTCCTCTCGCTCGCTTTCTCTGTCTGTCTGTCTTTCTCTGTCTGTCTGACTTTGTTTCCGTCCCTGTCTCTGGCTCTGCCTCTGTTTCTGTTTCTGTCTCTGTCTCTGTCTCTGTCTACGTCTCTGTCTGTCTGTCTGTCTCTCTCTCTGTCTTTGTCTGTCTGTCTGTCTGTCTGTCTGTCTGTCTGTCTGACTCTCTCTCTCTCTCTCTCTCTCTCTCTCTCTCTCTCTCTCTCTCTCTCTCTCTCTCTCTCTCTCTCTCTCTCTCTCTCTCTCTCTCTCTCCCTCTCCCTCTCCCTCTCTTCTCTCTCTCTATCTCTCTCTCTCTCTCTCTCTCTCTCTCTCTCTCTCTCTGTCATCATTATTACAATTATTATTATTATGATCATTATAATAATTATTATTGTTGTTGTTGTTGTTGTTGTTGTTGTTGTTGTTGCTGT